TTTCTTGCTGCTATAAGCCAGAGAGCTCAATTTTTTATTTCTTATACTTAAAAGTTAAACACTACCAGTTTTATTGGAGTTGAATACACGATGGTGCTTAGCTTCCAATTTGTGATGCCCCCAATTCTTACAAAGTGGACTTTGTATGAGTGACCAGTTTGTCTTCTTGCATGTAGGGTTTTTACTTCCAGAGCAAACCTGCTAAATAGATTCATACATACAAGTGATGGGAAGAATGAGTGATAACCCAAAGCATACATATCCACCAGTATCACAACTCTTCATTCTCTAGTATTGTAAAAGGTGCTCAAACTGCTTTTGCTGAAAAGCACTGACTCCTCACTTGGGCCCCAACACTTGGCACCCCTGCCTCCATTTTGTATCTGCCTTTGCTCTAAGCCATTCTCTGTACAGTCTCTTTGTGATCACCTTGGATTCCAGCAAAGCCAGAACTGATGGTGTCTTTAGAGCCACCTGGAGCTGCCATCCTCCAAGTGAGAACAACTCACATCTCAAGCCAGAGTAATCCTCTCAAACAGGAACCAAAACTGGACCTGCCTATTGAGACTGCTTGGCTAGTTATGACTATACCTGTGACTGAACTGTTTAACTATGCATACCTTTGTCCCTGCTCCTAGTTCTTGTCTTTTTAAACCTATAGCTCATATCTGTATTCTGAAGATGGCTGAGGATGAGATGAGTGCTTACTCTGCTTCTTCTCACGGTATGTCCTGAGCCTTGTAATAAACCTTGTTTCTCTGCCTTCACTATGCTTCTTTAGTTGTTCGGGGGCAGGTGGCTGGACCTGGCATATGCAATCTCAGGAGCTTTGACCTTGGGTCCAAAACTCCAGTTTCAGTCTAATTGGGAGGAGGTGACATGTGGCTTCTTTGAAATAAGTATTTCCAAATTTAACTAGAAGGTATTTAAAAAATGACAACAACCTCAGGGCTAAGGACTGAAAGACATACAAAGTAATTGTCTTCTAACTTTCAGGTAGGTTAAATTCTCTATTTTAATCTTGTGGCAGCAAGATACAGACATAGCCATACTTTTGAAGTATTAGAAAGTATGAGTTAATTCAAAGTTTTGGTGGTTGCCAATTCAGTAGATCAAAAATGTCAGAACATTTTTTTCCCCCAATAAACACAGGATGATTCATTGTGAACAGTATTAATGCTTTCTGCAGTCTTTCCCAAAGCACTGCCATGCAGTGAGGGGAACTATAACCCTGAATGGACTCTAATCCTCCTTGGAATCCAAAGACAAGGCCATCTACCTCCTACTGCTGCTTTTTGCATTCTGGCTCTTAAAAAACAAGCCACTGGTTGAGATAGGGCATCTCTTTATTTACAATTGAATAAAAGATTGGGGGGGGGAATATGTCAATGTATCTGAGGATTTTAGTTTATAGCCCTTCAACTATATTTAAATGATGGTTGTTTTAGAAAGTTCTAAGACAGGAGAAAGAATCAGTGATGGGGGAATTTTGACTTAATAGTTTCAAAATCAAGAGACTGAGGAGCAGGCACGAAAAGAAAATTAACTCCTACACATCAATGAATTTCTATTACCAATATGTATCCTTCCTCCAAACTGATTTAAGTGATGAACTTCCTACTAAAAAGAGTAGGCTGGTGGTAGGCAGAGTTATGGCCAATGAAATAAGAGAAGAATTTATTCTGAAAATGTTACTAGGCATAAAGAATCCCTTTGGGGACAGTAGTCCTCTTCCACTGTCTGCACAGCTTTGGAAGGGACACACGCATGGAATAGTGGGGGAAGAAGGGGACATCAACCTAGTCAGTCAGCCAGATCAGCAAAATCAACCCTGCGACAGATGTCAGTCAGATTGTTTTCAATAGAAACAATTATTAGAGATTTCTAATAATGCTTTCAAATATACTGGAACCTTTGAACAAGCATTCTCGAATTGCTTACTCTCACAATTCTCATCTTTGTTGAAAATACTTTCAACTTAAATTTCCCTTCTGCAAATCTTTTTCTTCTCTTCTTTCCTTTTAATTTATACAGTGCTGGGGATCCAATCTATGACCTGGAGTATGCTAAGCAAAAGCTTGAACACAGCTGGGTGCTGGTGGCTCACTCCTGTAATCCTAGCTACTCAGGAGATAGAGATCAGGAGGATGATGGCTGGAAGCCAGCCAGAGCAGAGTTCCAGGAGACACTATCTCGAATAACCCTTCAGAAAAATAGGACTGGTGCAGTGGCTCAAGGTGAAGGCCATGAGTTCTAGCCCCAGTACTGCAAAAAAAAAAAAAAAAAGCTTGAACACTCTACTGCTGAGTTATATCCCTAGCCACTCTGTGAATCCTTTACAGAGGCAATTCTAATGGTCTTAGTTAAGTAAGGCATTCAGAAAAGAAAAGCACAAAAACAATACTATTAAGTATTTACTTGGAGTAAAATACTCACCAGCCACTCCCAGGTCTTTAAACTACCTCTTTCCCACTAACAAGGTAAGTAGACTGATGTTTTGCTTCAACCTTGAAGATTTTATTTTTGGAAACTCAGGTATAAGGGCATTGGAGGAAAGATCGAGGATTGGGAAAATGATGGAGAGGAGCAGATGAGGTTGGGAGAAAAGACAGTTTAGTTGGTGTGTGTGTGTGTGCGCTAAAATGTTTAAACATCTCAAGTCATCTACACATTCTGTATTTCTAATAACAGAGTCAGACCAAGAATACTTTCTTTTTCCTTTCTAAATTTAAGAAATGTGGTTTCTTATGTTGCTCAGGCTGGCCCCAAACTCTTGGGGTCACTCAGTACTCCTGTTTCACCTCCTGAGTAGCTGAGAATCCAGGTGTGTGAAATCACAGCAGTCATCTTTTTGACAACTTTTTTATACATCAAAAAAACTTTAAATGTTTACCCGAGAAAAGCCCCACTGAAAATAAGTCCCTTTTACAACGTACATTTTCTGTAATCACACAAGGATGATAAATACTTGATGAAAGTACCAAGGACCGCAGTCTTGTGAAAGCAAAGCACAGGAATCTATAGTACCTAAATTTTGCTAATCATCTATTTAGTATTCTATTTATTATCTTTTCTTAAGGGATTTCACAGCTATATAAATCTCCTCAATCCATAAAGTCAGTTCCACTCCATAAAATGTTAAGTAAGTATCACTTCATGGACATCAATTTTCTCTTATGCTGTAACTAGTTGCAAATCAGATTATGCTTCTGGGCAGGAGTCAATAGTGCTTCCTGTAAATGGGATAAACAGACTAGGGAACTGTATCTTGCACTTCAGTACAAGCAAGTGCTACAATAACAGTGCTCTAGATAAAGCTGATGCAATTTGTTGCCAGGTTCAGCATTTTGGCATTAAAACTGCTGTGGCAACGAGAGGAAGGGGGCTGAAAAACTATAGTAAACCTGGGCTGCTTTAGTGAATTTTTGAAGCTGTGACTTATAAAGACAGAACAGGATTTGGGCTAGAAAGAACAGAAACAGAGAACTTCAAAGAGACCAAATCAGATCCTGCAGAAAAACTAATATACTGCAGATCTTTCAAAGGACTGGAAAATGCTGTCAACAATAGTAAGATTAATTTGATGTCATTTGTAAAGAATAGCTGTAACTTAGTATTTGCTATTCACTGTCTCTTGCTCCAACATCCTTATTTGCCTTTCATGGCCGTCTGAACTTTTGTTCCTGGTTTGGAAATTAATGGAGGGAGAAGGAAAGCAATGCAGAATGACACTGTTAATTTTATACAATTTTGGATTTAGAAGAGAAATTAGAGGGTGAAGCGGTTCCAACAGCTTTTAGGAGGCTACAGAGCTAAAGGGCAATTTTTAAGCTCCAAAGGTACAAGTGGGTGGGGACAATGCAAATTTAGTAGCTCATTAATCCCTTAGAAGCAACCTTTGCTCCCTTGCTGTGAACACCAGACCAGCTTAAATTTTTTTTTTTTTTAAGGATTTCTAACAATTACCCTTGTAAGTAACAGAAAGCACTGGACAGGGCTGAGGCAGACAAGGTGTCTAGTTCAACCTCCTTGACACTTACAGTCCACCTCCAGCAAGACTTCATTCTACTTTTTTTTTTAACAATAGAAAAAAGTGATCTTATCTTTTTTTAGGTTGTTCTTAAGCACTTTGTACTGTTCACTGTATGGGGGAGGGCGATGACAAGGCTTTTGCCTTAAGAAAGCAATTTGACTACAGAAGCCAAATCTACCAACATCCAAAAATTGAAACTACAGGATACCTCAGTGACTATCAAACAGTAACTGACTCAACTCTTCTTCACCTACTGTGTCTTTTCCAAGCTCAAATCTGGTGCTAGCCAGGACCAGTACACACCCCCAGGGCTATTTCATTCTATTGGCTGGCAGGCTGATCTGCAGTCTACACCCTTTAGATTTAATGTCAGGACGCCTGGTGTTTGTCTGAGATGTTTCACTATCCGAATTTTCTTTTTGGAGCGAGTGGGGGTACAACACAGAAGCTGTCAAAGTGTAAACATAACTTACAAGCTTAATTTTTACTTAGTCAATTCCTTAGGATACTAAACTGTTTAGATTTCAAACCCAGAAAGCAAATCATTTTGTACGTTCCTGAATCACCTGTCACTGTTGTTGAAAACAAAACTCAACTCTAAAGGCAGCATCGGATGGGCGGGTCACTGCCTTTTGTAGAAGCGCATTTCGGCAGGACTGGTCCTGGGCGACAGAAACCGAGGCCAAAGAGGGCAACCGGCGCAGTGTCTTCTCTGCATACAGCATGAACATATGCAGAGGCCCGGGGTGATGGCTCCCGGGGTAAGGAGGCGGGCCGACTACGTGATGGTTTTAGGGCGGAAAAAATCACTATCCTCCAGGCCTGCCACACCCGAGGCAAGGCAGGGAGCTGGGGAGGGGGACGCGGCATGCTCGAGCCGGGCTGGGCTGGGCAGGGCGAGCTGCGGCCGGGGCCATGCAAGAGACCTGGGGAGGAGGGCTAGTGGGACGGCACCGCGGGCGCTCACCTCCCTTGCAGGGCGTGCGGTGCTGGCTGTGCTGGGCCCGGTAGCCCTCGATGACCTCCCAGGAGCCGTCGTCGCGCCGGATGGGGAAGGAGACGCTCAGTACATGGTTGCAGGGCTTGATGATCCGCAGGATGCCGCGCACCCGGTTCCGCTTCTGCTCCTCGCTGTCCCGGGTCCTCAGGTCCTCCACCAGCTTGTCCTCCACGATGCTGGCGCCGCGGTCGAAGAAGCCCTCCACCATCTTGAAGAAGTTGGGGTCGTCCTCCCGGTCGGCTGCCGCCTCGCTGTAGTGGCGCCGGGCGGGTGGCGCGAGCCCGGACTGCGGGGCGGCGGCGGGCTGCCCGCGGGCCCAGCCCAGCAGCGCGGCCGAGTCGGTGGCTGCCGAGCCCAGGACGGCGGGCCCCGCGCGGGACAGCAGCAGTGCTTCTCCCAGGCGACGGTACATGGCGACGGGTGGAAAGAAGAGGAGTGCGAGGTGTATTCCGAGGCCTGGGACCAAGGGAGGAAGGGCTTGGGCGGGCTGCCCTTTTAAGCTGCAGCTTCCTGCCTGCCAGGCTGTCCCCTCCCCTCGGCCGCTCGTCGCCTAACGGGGAGGACGGACTTTGCGGGCCGCGCGCCGCCCAGGGCGCCGGGCCTCCGCCTCCGCGGCCTCGCCCGGCCTCCCTGGCGGCGGCGCGTGCCGGCGGGGGGTGTCGGGGGCGCGCAGGCGCGGAAGAGCTTAGTGCGCATGCTCAGCGGCCAGCCGGCTGGTGGGGGAGGGGCGCGCGTGTCCGGCTCTGTGGGGAGGCGACTCCCCCCCGCCATCTGCGGGACTTTGAGGTGTGTGCACGGCCGGGGAGGGGGCGTGCTGGAGAGGGGGTGCGGGCCACTGGGGTGCGCTGCGGCGTAGTTGCTGGGAGCAGGGAGAGGGTGAGGCCCCGCGCTCTGGCAGCTGGCCAGGTGAGCGAGTCACGGTGCCCCTCCTTTCCGCCCGCAGGCTCAGGCCGGAACCGAGTGTGCGGGTCTGGGGGGCGGAAGGGCGGAAGGCGAAACGGAGCACCGAGTTGCGTCCCAGCGCACGTTGGCGTGTTTTCCCGCTGGGGCTAAGGAGAGTTCTGAGCCGCTCCAAGTTGAAGATGTGGGGAAGAGAAAGCTCCCGGGCGGGGGCTTCCCTGACAGACTTTATTCCCACCCACTCAGCCCCCCATTTTAAATTTGTCCCTTTCTACTACTCGGTCGGGATAAAGTAGTCATGACTTTAGGGCCTGCGCTTACTGCTCTGCTGCATTCTGTTCTTGAAAGTAAAACAGGAAAGCTAGAAATGTGATCATGCCCTCCGGAAATTCTCGGGAATGTAAGCATTCTTTAAATGGTCCAGGAAGGCGTAACTTGATGGGAAATGCTACACCTTCCATTTCTGTGCGGGGATTAGGTGCTTAGAAAAGTCTTGAAGGCGAGCTTCCAAATGCCACCTTACCAGCGCAGGTGGTCGCAGGGCACGCCGGCGGTTTTATAATGACACCTTTTGTTACTTTCTGACATTATTTGTTAGATGACTTTATCCATCTATTAGAATATGAAAGAGAAAGTTCTTAATTCATACAATGTCCTGTGGCTTAAATTACACTCATCTATCTCAATGTACTTTGAAAGCGAAATGTATCTATTTATTTACCAATGAAACGGGTCTTACTCATTTTCTAAATAAATGATAGCCATTAATTATGCTTGTATGTTTTTCAGCGAAATTTGTCTTGACAGGCAAAAGGTTAAGGTACTAAGTTTCCTTTTCTCTTGATAGTATCATTTTATCACTGATAGTATTATCACTTTACCATCTTACAGTGCAAAAAACCGCCTAAACGTCCTACCCCTGAAGTTTCAGCATAATATGGTTAGCTTCAGTAAACATATAGAAATTTTTTTCAGGTTAAATTCCTTGGTATGTTCTCAGGAAAGTGAGTTAAGAATTTAATTTTATCTCGCTTATCTCTTTCTTGATAACCTCAGCCTTCAGAAAAATAAATGTTTAACTTTGCTTTCTCTATGGCTTATTCACCTGAATTCAAGAATATGGAATTCCAGAAGAGCTGTGGGAATTATCTTTTATTGAACATGTCCTGTGTGTAGGTATCTCACAAAATGGCTCTACAAGAACCCTATAAGTAGATTTAAAAAAAAAACAAAAACTTCATTATGTTTGAAAATTATATGTTGTAAAAAATAGTCCAAATAGTACATACAGATAGGTTTTAAAAATTAAGAGTGGGATTATCCCAACTCCACCCCCTTTTCACTCCCCTAGTGTAATTCCTTACTTAACAGAAAGGGGAACTGAGGCTCAGAGACCAAATAAACTGATGTTCACCTAGCTGGTAAATAAGCTAAGATTCAAACCCATGTATCTTTGCCACCACAGGAGTTCTGGGGACTCCTGTTACTGTTGGTTTGGATGTTACAGATGTTCCTCCGTTCTTGGGTACAACATCTAAGATTAGGATGATGCCCCGGGTGCAAAAAAGAATCAGGAAAAGTAGGAAGGTAATAAAGACTGATTTATTATCAAAATGGAATAACATCTTGAGGGGGGAGGTGGGAAGTTCTGGTAAGGACCAACTTTATGGGAGTTATTGGAGGTTGGACTTTTAGCCAAAAGGGTGGGGGTAATTAGGTGTTGAAAATCAGGGTCATCCCCTGTGACCCTCCCCAAATGATCACTGCACAGAGGCCGCCTGGGTATGGGAAGGCATATGTCTGCCTATTTGATCCTTTCTGCCCTTCCTGTAATTGGAGTTTTGGGCCCAAGGCCCAGACTCCTGAGATTCCATATGCCAGGTCCGACCACTTGCCCCTAAAAGCCAAATAAAGAGGCCTGGTGAAGACAGAGAAAGGAGGTTTATTACATGGCTTGGAACGTGCTGTGTGAAGAGGCAGAGTAAGCATTTAACTCCTCCTCCCCCATCTTTGGGGTACAGACATGAGCTATAGGTTTATTTATTTATTTTTATTTTATTTATTTTTTGGGTTTTTTTTAGAGCTATAGGTTTAAATAGACAAAAGGACTTGAGGGCAGGGGACAAAAGCAGTGTAAAAGTTAAACAGTCCCAGTCACAGGTGTGATTGTGACTGGTGGAGCAGTCTTGGTCAGGTCGGTGGTCTGGTGGAGCCTGCAATCTTGGTCAGGCAGGTGGTCTGGTCAGTTTTGGGAAATTGTCACTTGGAGGGAGTAATCTGGTTTCTGTTTGAGAGGATTACTCTGGTTTGGGATGTGAATTGTTCTCACTGGGAGGGTGGCAGCTCATGGTGGCTCTTGTTCCTTGTCATAAAGATGTTATCAGTTCTATTCTTTCTGGAATCCAAGGTGATTGTAAAGTGACTGTAAAGGGAATGGTTTAGTGCAAAGATAGACACAAAATGGAGGCAGGGGTGCCATGCTTCTCCTGTTTTTAGTTAATTTGTGGGCTCAAGTAAGGAGTCCATGCTTTTCAACAAAAGCAGTGTGAGTGCCTCTTACATTCCCAGTTGACCCTCTTCACCTTTCTTGGTTTAATCTTGATACGGGGAGTGGGCTCATAAAGGTAGAGGGCCATCTGGGGTTTTAGAATGGAATCTGATGCCTTGGGGTATTTCCTAGTTCTCGTTCATCTACCTAGCTGCCTATGCCAATAATCTCAGCGCTCCTGAGGTTGAGGCAAGAGTATCAAAAATTCAAGCCTGGCTCAACCATGTATATTTCTTGAAAGTTACTATTTCAAGAAATATTTTAAATGTTTGTTACATTTAGTTTAAATTTACTGTGATGTATATATATAGTATGTTTCAACTTTACATAATCATAAAATTGCTTTGTAAAATATATTTTACAAATTAAACTTTTATTATTTGTGGCAATCCTTTTTTCTTTTTTTTTGGTGTACTGGGTTTTGGTTTTTGGGGAGTTGGTGGGGCGGGGGGGGGGGCTTGAATTCAGGTCCTTCACCTTGAGCCACTCCCTATTTTTGTAAAGGGGTTTTTCAAGATAGGGTCTTGAGGAACTATTTGCCTGGGCTGGCTTCTAACCACAGTCCTCCTGATCTCTGCTTCCTGAGTGGCTAGGATTACAGGTATGAGCCATCTACGCCCAGGGCCTCACATTGCTAGGCAGGCACTCTACCACTTGAGCCACTCCATTGGTCTAAAAAGACCAGTTGGGTATTTTTTGAGATAGGGTGTCTCAAACTATTTGCTTGGACTAACCTCAAACTTCAATCCTCCTGCAAAAAGTTAGCAATACCCCCTCTGCAATACCCACTCTCAATGAACAACTCCAATGTGGTGGGGCTTGACTGTAACCCCAGCTATTTGGGAAGCCTGGGTATGAGGATTGTAGTCTGAGGCTGCTCATGGAAAAACTAGAGACTCTATTTGAAAAATATTAAAGCAAATAAATAAATAAATAAATGAAAGGGTTATTGGTGTGGCTCAAGTGGTAGAGTGCCTGCCTAGCCAGGTGTGAGGCCCTGAATTCAAATTCCAGTACTGCTTCTTCCCAAAATATATATAATTTAATTAGAAAAGTTAATACATGCTTTCTCTTTAGATTTGCCTATTCTGGACATTTCATTTAAATGGAACCATTCAATATTTGTTCCTTGGTTACTGCCACCTTTCACTTAGTATGTTTTAAAGTTTATCCATATAGTATGTATCACTACTTCATTGTGTGGCTGTACCACATTTTTTAATTTTCTTATAGTCTTCTACCACTGAACTATACCCCTAGTCCTGTATTATATTTTTTATCCATTTGTCAATAAATATTTGACTTCTATTGAGTATTATGAATAAGCCTGTTATGCACATTCTTGTATAGACCTATTTTTTCAGATTTCTTGCGTGTTTTCTTGGGAGTGGAATTGCTGGGTCCTGTTGTAACTGTGTTTACCCTTTTGAGGAACTGTCAAATTGTTTTCCACAGTGGCTGCCCCATTTTATTTTATCTTTTTTTTTTAAGAAAATTTTTGTGGTTTTATTATATCATAAGGCATTTGAAACATCTGAACAAATCAATATCTGGGCAGTGAGGCAGCTGCTTTCTCCTTCACTTCTTTGGGTTACTAGAGCAACTTGTCAGAAGATTAAAAAAAAAAAAAAAGAAAGGACAACCTTTTGCATTACTTTAAGTCTTTCGAAGGCATGTGCTGGTACAACACAAACTTCTCCTGTCAGATGAACTAGTCTAGGGTCCAAACGTCGTGCACAACACCTTCACGGCAGCAGCGCACTGCACCCACTCCCACCTTGGCCCTGCTCATGTGTGTATGGTATTTGGAGCGTCTGGAGGAGTGTGATAGTATCAGGAAGGGGAGGGAGGAGGAAACAGCATGAGTAAATGGCCACAAGGGGGTCAGCCGAAGTTGTGCAGGGCAAGCCTGAACATGTCAGTGGTGCAAACCCAAGCATCATTGATGTTTTTAATAAGAACATCTGGTGGAATCCCATCATGGGGTCTTCATCAGCCTTGAGCTGGCCCACAGCCATGCTGATAATAAAGCTATCTTGTGTGGGCTGATGGTCTTGAGCAGTGATGCTATGCTGGATTTTCTGGGACGGAAGGCTTGACAACTTCTCCACAATGGCAGTTTTTCCTGGAAGTGCTGTCCTTCCCACGTAAGGCATGATGCATCAATCCGAGGGGCTGGTATGATGGCGGCAGCAGCCTGCCCCATTTTAATATCTACTAGCAGTAGTAACCTACATCTTTTATCACTGCTACGTGTCTTTTTGATTATAGCTATCCCAGTGGGTATGGAGGAGTAGTATTTGCATATCCTTGACGACTAATAATGTTAAGTTTAAATATATTTTGATGTACTTATTTTTTATATATCTTCTTTGGATCTAGAGTTTAAGGCCAGCCTATGCTACGTATAATCCAAGTGCTGGGATTACAGATCTATGCCTTCATGTCTGGCTATTTGATTCTTTTTAAGTGGAGGCTTTTTTTTTTAATTAACTTCATTTTCAGTTTGTTCCTGAAAGTGCATAGAAATACAATTATTTATTGTATGATGCTTTATATGCTTCAGCCTTACTGAACTTATTATTAGTTCTTATAGTTACTTTAGTGGATTCCTTAGGATTTTCTTTTTATAAGATCCTTTCATCCGCAAATGAAGTTCATTTTATTTCTTCCTTTTCTAATTTGATGCTTTCTTCCCCTTTCTTAATGTGTAATTTTATTTTCTGTAGACACAAATGAACAGAAATTTTAGATTTGTTTTCCAGCTATCAAAAAAGACATTTAATAATAAGTACAACTCAGCAGAAAAGGCAGACATTGCTTATAAATAATCATTCAGTAAAATTATGAAAAACTTAAAAACTGATTACTTATATTTACCCTGAAAAATAGTAATAATTGTAATAGTAATCATTGTAATAGTAATAATAACAACTATAATTTTTTTGGTGGTACTGGGATTTGAACTCAGGGCTTTACACTTGCTAGGCAGGCATTCTATCACTTGAACCACTCTGCCAGCCCTAATAACTATAATTTATTGAGCTTTACTGTATTTCAGCAATCTGATGCTTTTTATTCCATTTTCTTGCTCAATGTACCTCATTCTCCTATATCGTTACATAGTATTACATTGTATGGATGCATCATAATTACCAGTCTCTCATTGATGGACCTGCAGGTTGTTTCTAACCTCTTTCAGTTACAGTAGTGCTGTAATATATAATTTATTAGAGGTGGGCATGGTGGTGCACATTATAATCGCAGTGCTTGAGAGACTGAAGCAGGAGGATCAAGAGGTCAAGGCCAGTCTGTGCTACTCAGTGAGACCTGTCTCAATAGCAAAAAAACCAAAAAATAAATTAATAATCTATTACCTAAAACAACAGTTCTCAAACTTTATGGTTTCTGTCTTCTTATGTATAAGTTATGAACTTGGACTTAGATTTTAACAAACATCAGAATTTTGTTTTCCTATATAGTTACATAGTTCATATTTGACATTGTTACGCTATCTAGAATTTTTTAAATGATCTAATAAAACCAAATGATATAAAAAATATTTTTTTTAACAATGGTTTTTAAAACAAGCAACCAACAATCTTGACATTTTTATCAGACCCTCATATTCCTAATTTTCATAGGTTTTAGTTCACAAGTGCTAGTTACTACTTCATTAATAAGACAGATGAAAGTAGGGATAGAAGGGACCCTCTGCTAAAGAAGCAGCATATGCAAGGTAAATGAGGCCTTGTTTGAAAATACAGAATAGTATAAACTCTGATTTAAAACAGTCTAATCAGCCGGGCACCAGTGACTCATATCTGTAATCCTAGCTATTCTGGAAGTAGAGATCAGGAGGATCGAGGTTCAAAGCCAGCCTGGGCAAACAGTTCTCAAGACCCCATCTTGAAAATACCCAACAAAAACAGGGCTGGTGGAATGCTCAAGTGGTAAAGCACCAGCCTAGCAAGCATGAGGGTCCCCTTCCCCTGCCGCCCAAAGAAAAGACAGTCTAATCTCTGGGGCTGAAGATCAAGTAAATTGAAAATGAATATCCTGTAGTTGTAATTTATTTTAAGTATTGGTAATTTTGGTACATTGTACGTTGTTTTTCAAGCTTTTGTGCCAGAACGTTCATTAAAGTTTTTCCTAACATTTGCTTTTCTGTTTCTAATTGATTTCCTAAAAAGTTTGTGATTTTTAATTTTTTCCTCCTTTTGTCAGCATGCTTTTGTAATAAGCAAGAAACAATAAAAGGAGCTATGTTAAAGAAATGGATCTGAAGTCTTCAAGGTTTGTAGTCTTTTTGCTCAAAAAAATTCCTTTCTTCCTAATAATGCCAATGTTAGTTATATCTGTATGGCTGGTTTGTTTAAGTTTTTATTTTGCTGCATTGCTGAATAGTGTTCAACAAAGGTTTTATTAACTCTTCCTGAGTAAGGATTCTTTCCATGTTGTGAGTAGACATTAAAATTAATGGAACCATCTATTCCTTTAAGTATAGGATTCAAGAAACAAGGGCGGTCTCTCATAAATTTATCTGTGCCAAGGTTGAATTCTAATCTGATTTATGGGTTATTCACTATGTTCGGTCTTTTTTATTGTTTTAAAATTTTGAGGTTAAATTTTTTGTTAGTTATTTACGTTAGCCAGGGTCTTGCTCTGTAGCCTAGACTAGCTGTGAACTTGCTGTCTTCCTGCCTCAGTCTCCCTGTTCTGGGACTCTAGGCATGTACCATCATGTCTGGCTCAAGTCCACTAATCATGTATGTGGATGATTCTCTATAAAAGCAAATCTTTTGCCTCATATGTCCAAGACCCTGGGTTCAATCCCCAGCACTGAAAAACAACAACGACAAAAAACCCCAAACCCACAAATCTTGCTTTGCATGGTGGTGGTGCCCACCTATAATCCTAGCACTTGGCAGGCTGCGGTAGGATTGTCAGTTTGAGGCCAGCCTGAGTTACATAGGGAGACCCTGTCTCAAAAAAAAAAAAAGGAAATCTTTATTCTGTTTTAGTATTTGTCTTTAAAAATTTTAGATCACTTGTGATTTCAATATAGGGTTGTTGTTTAGATAGTAAGGAAGGAAGTACAAAGTTCCTCTGAAGAATAGGCAGACTCTGCCATCAAGGAAGAAGGATGGAAGGAGTGGCAGTGTTTGCTATATCTGCCACAAAAGCTGTTATCTTGTTATGATACTACAGTTCCTAGAATTCAAATGAGATTTAATGGGGGTACTTCTTAAATGAGTCATTGGGAATTATGATTATTGATATTTTCTATGTTGAGAAATCTGTAAATTCTAGTTGTCTTTGAGAGCTTTTATAATGATGGCAGTTTTAGATTATGCCTCCTGTTTTTGAACATTTAACAGTTTATAAAGCAAAGGCTTCATGTTGTGGTATTTATTCTGTTGCCATGTAGGAGAACAGAGTAGAAACCCATCCTCAGCTTGTTGGAATTATAATGAAATATCAAGTGCTGAAATGATTTCAACAGATTTTCCTGTCATCAGTGTAGTACACAGGCAACTGGCTTAGAAATAACAGGGCTAATCTGGTGTCTATGTTGAAGTTAGAAGTTCTTGCCTTTTTTGTCCTAAGGGTAGAAATGACAGACTCATTAGATTCTCCAAGTTATAATAATGTATTTTCATAAGCATAGCTTGGGATAAGACTACTTTAAAGATATATAAGGTGTGTGTTCAAGGTACATAATTATTATACTCTACATTTTCTCCATTAAGTGTGGAATCTTTATCATTGCGTCCTTAGAGGGCCATTGAAAATAAATGAAGCACAAAGAGACTACACCTTGGTCCTAGAAATTGTTATCTGCTGGCCATCCACAATGAAAGTTCAAGTCAGCTACTCCAAACAAAGCAAAACAAAACAAGAATGAGGTATCAGTGAACACATACATGTCAGTAGGTCACGGGGAAGGTGCTGGGTCAGAGATAGAAAAAGTAGTAGGACTCTTCAAAAATGAGAGCTGTTCGTAACAAAAGGCTCAAGTATTCATCCCTATCTTCATGTGTATTTTCTGGGTGTTATTAATTGTTTAGCCATAAACGGAATTATTTTGAATAACTTTATTTGGTGTGTTTTTGTTAGTTTGACTGTCTTCCATAATTCTGCTTTTTCTTTTTATGGTAGACCAAAAAAAGTAAACCAGGCCACACTAGAAGAGCAGTCACAGTGGCTTTGAATTATTAATTAGAAAAAGCCTAAGTGAATCAAACTCAAAAACTGAAGCCATGAGACATTCTAGTTCCTGGCTCTTTTGGTTTTTACTTATATAAATAAAAATAAAATAAAAATAAATATGAAATATTTATTAATATATAATATAAAATAAATAAAAATAAAAATTTATATAAATAAAACACTATATAGTGTTTTCTTAGGAACAAATTATAAGTGTATGAATGAGTTAAGTCCATGATAACTGTGCATTTTCAGCTATAGATTTTCCTCACTGATACAACTCTTGCTGTCAGAACTGAGAAGCACTATAGATAAGACAGGAAGGGAAAGTTTAAGGTGAAATTCCTAATCTATTTTTGTACATTCATTTGTAGTCTTCATCACTTTGTCATGTTTTCATAGAGTCCCTGCTATGTTCTCATTAGGGAACAGTTAAGTTTTTCTAATTTTTCTCTGTGACTATTAGTTTAAAGCAGTAGAAATTGACAAAGATGAATTAGAATTTAATAAGTCAGATAAAACTGAACATTCTTAAAAATGAAATAAAAATGATTGAAAATGTACTTCAAGGATCAAAATAAAAGACACTCTGAGATGTAATTAAGGTTCTAATAAGTACAAAACAGTGACAATGAAAGGTTTTCTTTTTTGCAGAGAAAGTGGTAGTAAAGTTTATTAGGAAAGGAATGCACTTTTAATAGACTGAAAGCAGGTCATCTCTAGAGAGAGAAGGAGAATGACTATTTTTTCTACTTTTTGAAATTGATTTTTTATCTTAAAATACTTTTATTTATCACAATTTGCTTTGAAATAATTTTTCTTTAGACATAATTTTAGATTTATAGAAGAATTGCAAATATAGCCACATAAAATTTTCATCAAGTTTTCCCTGATAATGTCTTACAGAGGCATGGTACATTCATCATAACTAAGAAATTAACGTTGGTATGATTATGGCCAATTTTTTTGTTATTAGAGCCATTTTTGGTGGTCATTTCATCCAAATTGCCCTTTATGACCACCATGCTTTTTTGTTGAATTACCAGGAGCTGTGCTATTGATATTAGTGGTAGTCACTGCTATGTGCATAGCCCTTTTAGGTTTTCATGTTTGATGTCCTGTCATCTTACTCCTCCCTTCTCAGGCTACAGATGATTGCCTTTTCACTTGGTGCCCAGCCATGTTCAGTCTAAATGCCAGCCAGAAACCTGTGACATGACTTCTACAGAAAAATAGATTTCCAACTTTAATTTCTTTTCTAATCTATGTGAACCTATAATCTCTCTGGCCCCTTTAAAAGGTGATCCAAATGTCTATGTGTGTGTGATACTGGGGTTTGAACTCAGGGTGTCACACTTGCTAGGCAAGCGCTCTACCACTTGAACCACCCCGCCTGCCAGCCCTGTTTTTGTGTTGGGTATTTTTGAGATAGGATCTTGAGGACTATTTCCCTGGACTGGCTTCGAACCATGATCCTCCTGATCTTTGCCTCCCAAGTAGCTAGGCTTACAGGTGTGAGCTACCAGTGCTTGGTTCCAAGTGTCTATTAAAAAAATTTTTTTTGGTGGAACTGGGATTCGAACTCAGGGCCTCACATTTGTGCTCTACCACTTGAGCTACTGTGCCAGCCCTAAGGGTCTATTTTTTAACCAAAAAAAGCCTACTCAGAAAGGTATGCAATTGGGTAACTGCCTCATTGTTTGCTGTGACTGGAGTGTGTATGTGTGTCTTTGAGGGAAGGGAGAGCAGGCAGGAGAAAGGGATGGTGAGGGATGAGCATTTCATCAGAGGGAGTGAGCCTCTATAGGGCCAATTTATTAGTTTTTCTGATACCTCCTGTTGTATGCTTGAATTTGCACTTTTTGAATTCGTAGATGGGGATCTTTCATAGGTTCTAAAACATTAGACCTTACAATGGTAACTCTACTGCTATTTCAAATACTGTCTTTCCGTTCTATCCTTTGTCTTTATCTTCTCTATCTTGTCTATCCTTTTTGTATTTTCCAGCTTTCTATGGTTACCTGTGAGGAGGCAAAATGTTACCTTAATCCAAGGATTGCAATCTCCTAAATCATACTATGCAAACCTTGCTTATAAAACTGTAGGAACTGGTTTACTTTTTGATGACTGTCACCCTGGGAATGTTGCCCTTTAGGGTTATTGTGTATTTTGTGCCCTTTGGGTTACAGGTTTATGGGAATACTTTCTTATCAGACTTATCATAATTTTAGCTGGTCTTGTGCTTTGAAGCGTAGCCATCAAACAAAAATTTACACTTTTCTAATGACTAAACGAAGCTCAAAAGCAGCTCTAGTGCTAATTAACCCTAGATTATTAGTTTTCCCTTAGAGTTTTGGCTGAGTAACTCTTTATTATCTTGTTATCTCTTCTGGTGTTTTTAGTTGTTTTCATAAAAAGAAACTATTGGAGTCTAGTTCATCATTTTTGGAAAACAAATTTATGTTACTTTTATATCAAAGAATGTCTAATATATTGATCATGGCTAAATCAAAAAATTTCTACTTGAAGTTGCTTTAGGCTTATAGATTCATAGGCAGAGAATTAATATTTTTTGTTTGCTTGTTTTTTTTGTTTTTTTTGAGGGTACTGGGGTTTGAACTCAGGGCCCCACACTTGCAAGGCAGGTGCTCTACCATTTGAGACACCTTGCCAACCCTTTTTGGGTTTTTTTGAGACAGGATCTCTCTGTATAGCCCAGGCTAGCCATGAACTTGTGATCCTCCTGTCTCTGCCTCCCCAGTGCTGGGATTACAGATGTGTGCCACCATGCCTGGTAAAAAAATCAACATCTTAACATTATTATTTAAAAGTGTATGGAACATCTTTTATTATATTCAAATAATCTCTGTATTCAGTAAAGTTTTTATGAGCTAAACTTTATTTCTGTGCAATATGTATTATATATGTACATGTTTTAATTAAGTTTTTATGGTGCTGGATATTGAGCTTAGGGCCTTAAGCATGCTAAGCTCATACATTGCCAGCCCATATTTTAATTTTAAAGAAACTTGTCTTGCACTGGGGCACTGGTGGCTAATGCCTGTAACCCTAGCTGCTTGGGA